CATCAGTGTCACGAGATTCTAAATTCATCGCTAAGGAAGCATGTTGTCCTATTTGGTATAAGGTTCGGACATTAAAAGCTCCTACGTGTAGTTTACAGCCGGGTTTCAGAAGACCAGGAATAACGTTTCATAAACTCAAGTCGTTTGCATTAGCGGTGAGGGGTGATAAAGGAATGTGGGAAAGGTTAGTCGCGGAGATAAGAGAGATGTTAGATGTAGGAAGGATTTGATTGTGACCGATTTGATCTAATGTGCTTTTAGGGACATGAGGGCGGATGTCATTTGTCAACTGCCCATTCTGTGGAAGGGTATTTATCGAGAAACCTGAGAAGGAAATCGGATTATTGTTGGACTTAGCAACCTGGGAGCGTCGTGATCGCAGAGGTCAAGGGACAACTGCTTCAAGCTAGTCACGTTCCGATTTTGTATGGGGTGTTTTGGAAGTGATAGCCTCACTTTTCAAAAAGCCTAACCGACGAAGACGGAAATCCGTTAGGTAAGGCGGAGTGTGCCATTTTTAGGGTTAACCTTTTCTAACCCCTTCCTTCTTTTGTGAAAACGTAAGCCTGATCACAATGTCAAGGTAAAAGCTACGGTCGGGATTTATATTTCGGGCAATTCCAAAGATGAAAAATACGGCCAACCCTGAGTAAACCGGTAGGTAGACTAGATGTTTACGAACACAGAAAAAAGTGCTGGGACTTCGCCATTACCCTCGCCACATCAAACACGATGGGACGTTGCTCGACGATCCAAAACAAGTGTATAGGCCTAATCCGGATATCTCAACAGAAGTATGAGAAGCAGTTGGCACAATTTGTGATCATGAAACCAATGCGGTTGTTCTCGTACATCAGTTTCAAAACAAAGATGCACCGTTGGATCTCCAGCCCAAATACAAAAGGAAGTACATCTCAAATAACAGAGGAAGATCAGGACAAATAAACGATGGTGGACTATTTTGGGATATTTTTCACCCAGAAACCACTGTTAAACGAAGGACTAGATCAAAATGCGATACCATCAAATCAGCTTCTCATTGTGGACTTCGGTCGAGACGACGTACTAAAGGCCCGAAGCACTTTAGACATGGAGAAATCAATGGGATCGGATAAACTATACCCAAAATTCTCGGGACATCGCACGACAGATCGGCATCATGCTGAATAAGATATTCAATATATAACGTGATCGCTGTGATTTAGCTATAGACTTTAAGGATATAGTTGTCGCGCCAGTTTTTGAGACAGCGCACAAGTGACTATCTACTTGGATCCAGTCTAAGAGAGCTAGTTCTGCCCTAGGACTTAATACTATACCTACATCAGCGAGGCCACGGGAATCAGCAGTAGGGCTTCCAGATACATGAAGCGTAAACTGAGTTGGTTCTTCATTCGGACAAGGCGAATGCAATTTAATTACTGTACTAGGATCGTGTATGCGCGTTTCCGAGACGCAGCATACATCGATTGAGCGAGATTTTAAAGTCCTAGCTACTGATGCCTGTTTCTGTATTTGACACAATGTCCATACATTAAAAGCCCGAACATGTCGTTTTGTGCTTCAACCCTTCGCAAGTCTGTAAGCTTATATGAAGAGAAGATATTAAACGAGTCTATAGAATACCCAGAACCAACCGGAAAAGAGGAGAGGCATCATATCAGCGTTATAAGGAGACAGCAGCAATACTTTATCACTGGTGGGAGATAACTAATTTCACCTGAAGCCCCTCTGCGTCTACCGCCGGTCCATCTCGGATAGAAGAGGAGGGTTGGGCATAGGGTTCGCGACCCCATCCCACAAAAGAACTAACTCGCTGAAAAAACGCCAACCACAAAACATAATTCAAACGATTTTAACTATGCCCTGGTAGTTAGGTCTTCTTTCAGAAGAATTATCACGTCTCACAATAAAAGCCGAGTTACCGATGACCCTTCTGACAACTAGAGCAGCCAAGTTTAAGGTTCATGGAACGTCCAAACATTGTGGGAGATTGGAAGACTATTTCAAGTTGATGCCCAGTATGCACTCACAACATGACAGTGTGTTGATGAAATATCGGTATACGATAATGGCTCCCGAAAATGCAACTTCAAAAGCATTGTGAAGAGTAAATTTCAAAATAACCAGTAATTTGAACTCAGGATTTCGCCCTTACGGGTTACAGCCGGTTTAAAGATGGGATGAGTAAGGATGATTAGGCATAGGGCTGGCGAGCAAAACACATACAGATGGTCGAAAAAAATGCCAACGAGAAAAAAAACTCAAACCGTTTACACTGCACTGTGAGTTAGAATGTTTTTCTTTCGAAGAGTAATGAGGTTTATTGGTGAAAACGGTGTTCCTTAGGAAGTCACGAGGTCGACGCTCAAACTCACAACCAGAACAACCGTTCTTTTAGGAGTGTTCGATCACACCACTCAGAACCAAATGGACCATATCTGTTTCAATAAAAATTTCTGAAGGACCATGAAGAAGGGCGTAAGAACCAAAATAGAAGATGATAAGGCCTCAGATCACCACTTGCCAGTCACCAAAATGAAACTGAAACTCAAGAAGCACAGTACGACGTGATGGGCGAAATTGCAGAGTCATAACGCGGTCTTTCTTCGTGATACTGGAAAGTTCAACGAATTTAAAATAGCCCTCAGCAATGGGTTACAGGCTCTCCACGATCTACTCAATGGAAAAGAAACACGGAAGCAGCATCCATGGACCTGCTAATCGACGTTGGCCCACCAACAGTTGAAGAGACCGATATGGCTATCAGACAAATCAAGAGCGCCAATGCAACGCGACCAAACAACACTACGACAGAGGCAATAGAAGCAGACGTGGAAGCAACTGCAAAACTACTCCACATTCTCTCCAGCAAGACTTGGGAGGAAGAACAAGTACCAAGAAAGAGGAAAGAAGGATACCTCATCGAAATACCACAGAAAGGCAATCTCAGCAAATGTGAGAACTTTAGAGGCATCACTCTTCTCTCAGTACCATGCAAGGTCTTCAACAGGGTGTTGTTAAAAAGAATGAAGGAATTCATTGACTACGAAGCACGCAAACGAGACTCTCAGCTGTCCTCCGTGCACGATTTTGCAGTTTAATCCATAATAATAATTCCGTATGATGTCGAGTATCTCAGGCACGAAGTATTGTCAACGAAGCCTCCATCGTGCTGTCCTGTCCGTAATATCAAAGGCATTCTCGTAGTCAATGAGGTTGATGCACAGTGATGCCTATGATCAGTTGGCTTTTTATGTAGAGCATCTCTACTTCTTTATGGCCGGAGTGTATCAGCAGCTCTCTTGAACCTTGTCATTTCTCCAAACTGTGTCCAATGCGTTTCACTGATCCCAAGCACCAGCAGGTTGTATCTTCTAATCTCTGCAGCAACTTGGATGACTCTCCCTTTTCTAACATTAGTCGAACTTAACTTAGTCTTAACTTCCAATGCAGTTTAAACTGTTTTTTATTGTTGTCATTCGTTTTAGCGAGTTAGTGTACTACAGGACGGTGTTGCCAACTCTCTCCCTTTATCCGGAGTTAAGACCAGCGGGAGCCCTGGAGAGTATCTAGGAGTTTCTTGCAACCAACCACAACCCAGATACACAGGAACATCAAAGCTATTCATTTTGTGAACTTAAAAATCAGATGTTTCTGGTTCTCTGATTTCATGACTTTACACGGAATCACGCGTTGATCGGAACCATACAGGATTTATTGTCAGGTGGGGGAACTCCTGATTATGAGATAAAGCAACACTATTCAAACCACCGTTTTATTGCAGTTTATCGTATATGCTACTGCTAGGGAAACGAAAACAATGAGCATGAATAATCGCGTATGCTCTTCAACTGCGTCCATATTTAAAAACAGGCTACTAACATCTAATAACATAATAGAAGTTGATTTTATTCTTTTCGTAATTATGTGACGCGGTAATTTTCGGCAACGCGCATTAGTGAATACCCAAGCTAGAGACCAAACCGAGAACAATACTTTACCGTTGTACCTAACTTTTCTTGAAATAAACCAATGGAATTGCATCCATAAATAAGATGAAAAACCTTGGAACCTTTTTCAATACTAACAACTGAATAAATAAATAGTTCCAGAACTTGGGTAGCAGTTTTCTTTCGGAGAACATACTTAGTACTTAAATAGACACTGATTCTGCCGGGTCCATGCTACATGATAGAGAACCGTTTTTTGAAAATCTACTGATCTGAAACTTATCACTTCGCTTTTATTGTAAGTTAAACCATACTCTTTGTTAGAAATGAGATGAACGTAAAAAATTCACAATACAAATGCATCAAGTACTTAATATTTTATATATGAACAAAAAGATCAGTAGTCAGTCATATCTCTATAGTACATATGCGATTATTCCGAGATCTTTCTCCCATTAGCAAAACTTTTGTATCGTTAAGCTGTTGAAGTTACAACACTTAGTGACTTTTTGTGATTGAAAAAACTTTATTTAGGCAGTGTTCCAATATTGAGGTTATTTGACGTGAATGGATTAGTATGTAAAAGCATGCAGGAATGGTTCAAAATAGTATATCTAAATAAGTGAAGATCATATATAGTACAACTGGTGAAAATACATTTTATTAAGAATATTAAATATAAGCAGTTTGGCATTTACACAGTCACTAATGCTTAAAGTGTTTAATTTCTTTAAAATGTATCACCAACATGAGAACGTTTCATAAGACAGTGCATATAGATGCACAAAAAATGTCGGTTTATCTAAAAAAGATCCTTTGAAACAAAGATGATATCTTACTGCATATATACGTTTATTCAAACAACATTCAGATAATGTAAAATGAAAAAAATGAAAACAGAATAGTGCATATTTGGGCACAATAATAAATATATTACAGATGTACAAAACGAAATTGAATAAATCAGGGTGGGTTACGAATGAATTCTGACTAAGACATGACAACCAAGGAGAATCGATACAATCAATGATAAATTCACAAAAAATGCTATGCACAATTTTTACTAGAACTTTCCATTCCAGCATCTGAATCAAGAGGTTTTTCTTCTTTTTGAGGTTCACTCTGATCTTGAACAGCATGTCGAATACGGGAGACAAGAAAACCCGTTGTAGTGTCTATAGCGCGCTTGCCATCTATGTAATTTAATAATATTGCAAAAAAACATAAACCGATCGAAATACAGGGAAAAAATCTTATGTTTAAAAATGGTGAGAATGTTGGATGCATAAAAACAAAAACAAAAACAAAAGATCACGAATACAGTAAAGTACAAGTTATTTTCTTTTTGGTTGTCGATATCAAAGTATAATTTACTGTCACCGCATATATTAATCAGTACTTCTGTGTTTTTCATTAGCCGCTTAGAACTCTTTTATCACTAAACTTCGGGTAATAATGAGAAATGAATTGAAACATACTGAAGGATATCAAACGAGAAATTTAGAGATTCAGTCGAGTGTTATGCATGTTTATTATAGGGTTGCGGAAATTGCCGAGTTTCATTAAGATAACTGATTACTGTTATTACAACAATAGAAATCTGGAAGCAATCGACGGCCGTTTTCCTCTGGTATGGAACATATCAGTGGTAAGCAATCAGGACCACCGCACGTAGAGGTTGAGCATTTATTCAATGCATTTAGGATGATATGATAAACAGTTTTTAAAAATTGACGACAGGAAAACATTACTCGATATAAACGAGTTAATTGAAAACGGTAAATATGTTAAACATGGAAATATTTAAGAGCATTTAAATAATGGGAAATAATCAAACGTTTGGTAGCATTATGATTTCGGATATAAGTATAATTCCTGGTTTTTTATACTTCCCAGACTATACATGATCTACTCAGTTAAATTTGAATCGGTTTTCCGACCGTAGCGGCTAATTTGACGTGGTGGTCGGGCCGGACTATCATGATGAGCAAACGAAGCTATATTAGCTAGAACAAATATTCCTGAAGGTTCTACCATGCCCGGCAGTTCCATTGGAGAACGATGAGACTAAAAGCAGCTAATCAAGATCTGAGGGCGAAGTCGTACTGCTGACTGAAGAGTGGTGTGACAGCAGTAAGGTGTTTCCCTCGGACAAACAGCATCTGCAGCGATGCCGCCTTCTCACAAGGAACGAAGGGTTAGAAAAGATCGACCTTAAAAATGTCACACCTCACACTGCCTCACGGATTCCCATCTCCGGCGGTAAAGGTGCCCACTAAGGACTTTCAAGAGCGGAGCTAATATACAAAAAACCTTTTATAAAAGTGCAGTGCGTGACCGGCATGAAGCAGTAGTGCCTTGAGCTCTGCGGTCACGCTACCAGGTCTCGAAGACCAACGCTAATCTACCTTACTTTTCAGGTTCATCAAGAAACAACCTTCCACGGTGTGGGCAGCCGGGATGTGAAAACCGCCCTCGTACCCGTAACAGCACACGAGACCAAATTGGTCAAAATCGAATCCTTCTTACACCCCCCAATATCTCTCTTTTCTCCACTACTAACTCTACTCACATTATTTTATCACCCCGCACCGCTAATGCAAACGATTCGAGTTCAAGAAACGTTGTTCTAGGTCTCTTAAAACCCCGTTCTATTCTACATGCTGGAGCATTTAATGTACGGATATTGTGTCAAGTAGGGCAACCGGCTTCCTTAGCTAGGACTTTAGAATCTCGCGCCATCGACGTATGCTGCGTGTCAGAAACGTGCACACATGCTCTGAGCAGCGTCATTCACTTGACCTCCCCATTTGAAGATAAAGGAGCCACTCGATTTACCCTTCGTGTATCTGGGAGCGCTGATGTTACTTCCTGGGGTCTCGCTGGTGTAGGTATAACAGTGGGTCGTAGGGCAGAACTAGCTGTCCGACTAAACGAGATAGTAAGGACTTGGAAGGATAGGGACATTCGCCACTGACTGTTCGACGTATCTGTCTACGCTCCAAATGACAGCAGTTCAGACAAAGTGACAGATGAGTTTTACAGAAAGCGTTCGAACCTCCTCCAAAAAGCTAGGCGCCCTGATATAGTAATAATGGCTGGTCACTTTGATGCTCAAGCAGGCAGACTGAGTGAAAACGAAAGACACCTGGGTGGATGTTATAGAACACTTTAGGGAACAGTTCAACTGGCCTTCAGTCACACTTCTGTTGCCCATGATTCCCAGTCATCCTGAATGGCAAATCGATTTAAGTCATCCGAATCGTTATGAAGTTGAGAAAGCTATAGGAAATCTAAAGCGAGAGAGAGCAGCAGGACCCTAAAGATTGACTCCTGAGATTTGTAAGGATGATGGTCCAGTTTTCGAACTAAGTTGACCGAAAACCTAGGCAGAATCTGAAAACTGGACGAAATCCCATCAGACTGGTCTCAGTCGCTAATTGCCCCAAATTACAAAAAAAGACATAAGTCCTCATGCGACAATCACAGGAGAACTAGCCTAATATAGTATCTAAAATATTGGCCGCACTAATGCTTCGACGCTAAAGGAAAGCTCGAGAAGAGCAGACTGTTTTTTGACCTGGACGTGGCTGTATAGACCACATATCCACACTACGACAGGTCCTTGAACACAGAACCGCTTTCGGCACCCGACAATAGTTGTCTTCCTGGACCTTAAGACGACATTTGACTCTGTCGATAGTGAGATTCTGTCGCAGTGCGTCATTAAAAGGTGTATCATAGAAGTACACTAAACTTATACAAGCCTTGTACTGGAACACCACTGGTCAGGTGAGAGCCTATGGCGAACTGTCACCGGAATTCTTTACTTCAAGTGGCGTCCGTCAGGGATGTCCACTCTCTCCATTCTTGTTTAACTTTGTCGTAGACATGCTTTTAGAGTTAAAATTATCCCCGTCAGATTTTTTAGGGGTGGACATTCTACCAGGAGGATCGCTTATTGATCTAGATTATGCCGATGACAGAGTTCTATTTAGTGAGGACGCTGACTAAATGCAGAGTCTTCTGACCACACTAAGCAACGATGCAAGCATGTTCGGGATGCGGTTCTCACTCTCGAAATGCAAAATGTTGCCTCAGGATTAGGTTTTATCGGTACCTGAACTAGTGATAGGAAATGAAGCAGTTGAGCGTGTTGACCGCTTCACTTATCTCGGGAGTTTCATCAGTGCTGATGGCCTGGTGACTGACGCAATCTCAGCACGGATACAGATGACTCGATTGGCTTTTGCCAACTTGCGTCATTTGTGGCGTTGGCGTGATATCCTTTCGGTAACCAAAAGAAGAGTCTATTGAGCAGCAGTTCTCTCCGTCCTACTTTATGGCTGTGAACTATGGCCAGTAAGAGTAGAAGATATTCATAGGTTACTGGTTTTCGATCATATGTGTCTCCGAAGCATTGCTCGTGTATCCTGGGACAACTGAGTGAGCAATGCTGTCATTAGGAAACGAGTAAGAATGGCAGATCAATAGATGGAGTATTGAATCTTCATCAGTTTTAGTGGTTGGGGCATTTGTTACATACAGCCAACCACATACTGCCTCTTCGAGCAATGCTTTATGCCTGCACCACTGCTAACGATTTTAAGCCTTATCAATCAGGTTCCCTACAATCGATTAGAGAGCACCTAATAACACGACTCAATCCAGTGATCAGTGACCTCATGGATATGTGCCATATTTGGTTCGGCCGACCCTAGCATTCTTCCAACATACTCCTACTATGCCCCAAAACATTGTTCGAAGTGGCAGTCGGTGGTTGGCTGTACGTAACACATGACCCAACCACATCAACTAATGAAGATTCAATACTCCATCCATTGATCGATTGATCAATTTTTATAACAGTTCGCCATAAGCTCTAACTCTAATACTGGTGTTCGAGTAGAGAGCTTGTACAAGGTTAAAGCACTTCTCTGCTACACGCTTCAATGAACAACACTGCCATTATAACCTCACGATCGACAGAGTCAAATGTCGTCTTAAGGTCCAGGAAGACAACTATTGTCGGGTGCCGAAAGCGGTTCTGTGTTCAAGGACCTGTCGTAGTGTGAATATGTGGTCTATACAGCCACGTCCAGGTCGAAAAACAGCCTGGCTTTCTGTAGTCTGCTCTTCACGAGCTCTAGTTAGGCGTACAAGTATTATGGAGGCTAAGTGACATATTCCCTTAGTTGAAGACCACTCAATCACTGTTTACTAATAAACTTATTACAGATGTCTAGTTTTTTAAATTTACTACTTCCGTACGGAGTTATTACTCGGAAATGCTGATTTCAAACAATGAGATTTCAAAATAGAACCGAAGAAATAAGTGTAGATTTACATTGTTTGTTCTATGTTACAAAAATTCATTCTACGCTTGTTCAAAAAAATCAAACAAAAAGTATAGCAGATATAAACAGTTTCACCATAAAAGGTACAACAGTTATCAAGATTACCCAATGTTCAATCATAGAAATAGAATGTTGACTGGAAAGTATTCAGAGAATACCGCTACCTGACAAAAACCAAGCATAAGACATTTTTACTAATTTTTTGAATCAACCAAGCATCATTTTTAAAAAGACTTTTACACTTTATGGAAATCCAGTTTAATAATTTAATAGTGAAAGTCAGACACGAGTTTGAATTTCTTTTCACTAAATAAAATTTAGGCAGTATTTTTAGCGCTGTTTTTATTTTTCTCAGTAAATCATCAGAAATGTATTTTCATGTAAATTCGTATTAGTTAACTAAAACCAAAAAATTATGAAAATGCTTCCATAGAATGGTAGTCGTTAATATGTATCTAGAGGACAGGAAACTTCTCATGTCAGTGCGATTTACTGGGTCTATAAAGATCTCTAAACGTAGCTTTTAAGTGTACTTTACAATATGCTAACCGAATTCGGAATAGCTATAGGGGATTTTAGGTTGAGGGTACTAATGCATTAGGTGTAAAATGTATGACGTACTTCGAAAAATTACAGGCTTTTAGACAAGTGAGTACTTGCGCCAATTAGTAAATTATGTTGTGGGAAGGTGAAAACATTTCTCTTACTGAAAACATTAGGTAGTGAATGAAAAAAGAACCTTTAAAATTAGCAACCTAATGCGTGAAAATCTAATGAATAATATGACTATGAACGAAGGTACTTAAACGAGATAAAACAACCATACCATTTTCTCA